TATAGCACCATAGGACACACATCAATTTTACAGGTAACAAGACTAATATATATAGAGAAAAAAATCTTATAAATTGCATTTGTGGGGAAGAAAACTGTGTTAAACACAACAGTCATTTAAGAAAACCAATTTGTTTTGCAATTTTTTCAGCTGAAGTGTAATATTTTGAAGTGTCAAATCAGGCTATGTTGGACGTATTTATTGTGATGCTATATATGATATACAATGTATACTAACACAGAGATGTGATAGTACATCTCTTTCACTTGAAAGGAAAACAGCCTGGTTACAACCTCAGATGCTGAAATATCTCTTTAAATACTGTCTTGTGTTCTTTCACCACATTTTCCTTTTACCTTTTTGCACCTTATTTGTTCCCTCATTGCCAAAAAGGGGTGTCTTATAATTCTGACAACCATCTTCTTCCTCCAGATACCTGCTATGAATTTGGATCCTAACTTCCTTCCTAATTGTGTATAGCACTGTGAGTGAATCAATCTCTCCATATACAAATATACATATGCTCTCTTTCTGCTGTTATATAAATTCGAGGCAAAGAATATCACTGTTCTCTACTTAGTCAATTTTAATAACAGACACAATATGTGTCTGTTATTGTGGTGTGATACAATAAAACCAAACAATTCTTTTGAGATTTGCTCATTCAGAAAAGATTTCACCCCTCAACAATATATTGCCTTTAGCCTTTATCATAAAGAAACATGTAAACCGGATCAAAAATTTGAATGTATCTTCATCACCTGTAAGCTCATAATTTAAATGAGTCTAGACAGACAAGTTGAAGTTAGCACATAAAAGAAACTATCCCTATTTTCAGAACATTTCAATTAGCCAAACTGTTTCATGTATTCTACTGGTAGTTCTATCAGGATTCCACAGAAATAAGCATGTTATAGAGAAGTCCCTGGATTAATAAAATGGAAAAACAAAAACAAACAGACAAAAAAAACCTTAACTTTCTTCAGCCAATCCCAGATGAGAAAACACAGATCTGTTCTCTTACGTTTCAACTAAACCTGACTTGCATCTTGAAGCACTTCATCATTCCTTTCAGAAGAAGCCGTATCTTTGATTCCATATTCAGTTTGACACCCGTCCTTTCATCCGTTATTCCCCTAGGCTTGCCTGCTAAACCTCCACAGAAAGATTAAGAGAATATCTTCCCATTCTAGCAATGGCTAGCACAGTATTGGACATAATTCTCTGCCACTATTAAAGGAATATTAGGTTGGATTTAGGGGTCTAGTAAATTAATCTGTTTTATGTTACTGTTTGTAAGACCTATGGTATTTGTTGTTCCTACTTTGCTTCTTTAACAATATTGCTTTTCATGTGTGTATACACATTTTTTTTAATTCCTCTAATATTGCTCCACTGGAAATGTGAGGTTGTTGTCGATAAAATTCTCAGTTAAATTAAGTACTTTCAAAAGCTGAGGATCTGGCTTTTTGATGTGAGGCTGCTGCTAGTCCGAAGTCTTAATAAGAGGTTATGCTAACTCACAAAAAGTATGCCAGATCATTAATTTATAAAAGAGGAAAAATCATAAAGACTACTAAAAAATGTAAATTATATTCACACTCAAAGTCAGTTGTTCTCTGAGTTAATAATGAAATCCCAAATCTGAAGAGCCTTCTGATGTTATAATTACCCTTTAAATCTTTTTGTATAGCTGTTATATCCTGTGGAGGGGGAATCTGTTTATCTCTGTACAGATGCACAGCAAAATAACACATTTAAATAACACACAGGGCTCTTCATACTTGTCTAACTCTATTGACATTAAGGTCATTAAAGTCAGGTCATTCATCCTAGTGCTCATGGCCTGCACAAGACCCATGCATCACTTAAATCCTGCTTAAATTCTCTGAATGGGACTTTAAAGGGATTTATGAAGTGTGCAGCCTTGTAAGCCTTTTACAAAGGCTTAAAATACACCTTTTCACAAAAGGTGAATGTCACCGCTAATTTGCTCACCTCTGCAAATCCTTAAAGCAAAGTTACAGTAACTTCAGTTGCTGTTTTTCCTGAAACAGGTTGAGCAAAGGTCGATAGGACTCTCCTGCTATCTGAAGAACTGTGCTTGATCTTATTGCTGGGGTATGATATGAAACAATATGACAAACTTTTTAAAATTTGCTAAAAATTAGCACCTAAAAGAACCACTGGTATTTTTAAAGAGTGAAACAGAACATGAAAAGAAATAAGTAAACCATTTGTGAGTACATCTTTCAGTTTGTGAATAAAAAGTCTTCCAAACATTTTTGTTGTTATAACTAATTTTCCACAATAATATTGTATTACAATTTTGCATTTCTTAGTTAGAATTTTCGGGATACAGTAGCTTCTGTAGTCTTTCCTGTGGATCATCGTTTCACCTTTGCTCTTTGCTTCATGTTTGCAGAGAATGGGAGCTTTCAAACCCATCTTATTCTACTTTTCATATTTTACACTGTTATAAATTGTTTTGTTGTTGCCATTTGGTTTTGCGTGTTTCTGTTTTTTAAATACATCTTTCTCCTTGGATTCTGTACTAGTTGTCTAGTATAAGACAAGAACAATTGATGGCCAGTCATTGAAAGAGTAAGAGAGAGACAGCCATTTTTGAATCTGCCTTGCCTAATTTAATTTGTCTGATTTCAAACATAACCTAACCAAATCTTCTAAATGCAACTAATAGCAAAATTTAATACCTGTTTGGATCATGCAAATATAGGCTAATCTGGCAAGCTATGCATTTTTTATCCTTGAAAATTGCAATCAACATTTCCTAGTAGTACATGACAGATTTATATATATATATATGAAATCTTTGAAAATTTAAAAAAGAATTCAATCATTTGAACTTGGAATCAGATTATGACCTTTTATGTTGAGGAGCTGTTACTCACCCGACATAACTCTTTGGAATAATTAGATTAACCTATTAATGCAATGCTTTATCAGTCAAACAAATCAGAATATTGGCATTTTCTAAATATGTGTTAGCTTTACATGTCTTGCATGTAAAATTCTCTACATAAAATAAACGCATAATCTAAGAACAGTTTCCACAGTTCTTCAGTACTCAGTCTTTCAAAAGAATGTGCGATGCCTTTAATCACCAGTATCTATACATACTTAATACCAAATCATCCTACTTTTTTTTTTTTTTTTTTTAAAGAAAATGACATCTACACCAAGAGAAAATTTCAGAGATTTTTCTTTGAAAATAGGATATTTATCAATTGAGAGATTAAAAAGCTAATTTAATTCCTTCTTTTGTAATCTCTGCTACTGGGGCTCTGGACCATATCAAGAGGGATTCTGACAGCTTAGTATTAGAGGGAGAAGGAAGGAAAAAATGAACTATCAGCAGTGAATGATTGTATTTAAGGTTGACAATGACGAAATAGTAGAGGCCATGCTACAATTTCTGCTCCTTCATTTGTCTTTGTTGATAAAATGAACACTGTCAGAGGCTCAAGCTCACAGCAAATTTAACGTGACTCTGTTTATCCCTGCACTGAACAAGGTTTGCACATGATCAGATGATAAATGCACAAAATTCTGGGACATCCTTTCTTTCTGCTTAACAAAAGCAGGCAATTTTCCTAGCTTCTTCTTCCTTGAAGGAATAAAGATGGTGAAAAGCTAAACAAAATATTTAATGTAGCATGACATCCAAAATTAACACAAAAATACACTCTAAGCAGTCTTTGAATACCATTCTTCTAAAACAGTTTTCTGTCCTTGTTAGAAAAAAATATTACCTCTAAGAAGTGAAACATGCCAGGCTATGCAAGAGGACACTTTCATAACCATAAGAAGGTATGAAAACTGAATTCTATTCATTAAATTTCTAATGATGGAAACAAGAATACTAAGATCCTTTTAGTTGTTTCACTGAGTAGAATTTTCCACAATAAGCTGAATTCTTTCATGACATAAGACTATCCACATTTTTTAGTAAACTATCAGTACAAGTGTCCTGATTATAAGGTGTTGCCAAATTTGCTTGCAGAGATAATATGGCCTCAACTATATTTCATACAAAATAAAGGTTTGAATTTGACTGGTATTTAAAGTAGTGTAGCATGCTAAAACAAATTGTCTTTATGTCATGCTGTTGTTTATATAATGTCATGGGAAACTAAAGTAAATCAAAGAAGCAACTCAAACCCAAAGTCCACTTACTGTCTGCTAAAATTCATATTTTATTTTTTCCTTTTGAAAAAGAGATGAAAGCAGTGACTTGTCAGGTAAGTTTCACTGTCTTTATTGATTTTAACTCTTATGCAAATCTCCAGCTGAGTGGTCATAGTCCAGGTATCATATGGCAACTATGGCATTATAGCTGATAAATTACAGAGATAATACTAGTCTGAAATGGAAAGAGTTGGTCTTAGAATAGGTTCTCGTCCTGCACTTACTAAAAATGTTATACTTCTGTAGATTAACAAAGTACTTGAATAGAAATGCTTTGCTTTATTTTCTTAGGAATGCTGGTAGAAAAATCTTAAACAGATGTAGTACCCCAAAATTGGAGTTCATGCACTGTCTGAATGCTTTCCTGCATCTACAAGCATCATAACATAACTCTCTTAATATGTGCAGCAATTCCTACTTTTTAATAGACTTTCTATTCTACACACCTTGTATTTCAAAGCTCCCCTTTCAAAGTGCAGGCTGAGAAAAGGTTGCTGAGAAAACTGAAAATGATAATTTGAGAGGGACTGAAACCTGAAACTTAGCAGCACTTTTTGAAACAACACAAAAGTTTGAATTCTGGACAGTCTCTTCATCACACAATTAGATTTTGCTGTATGCAAAACTGATTTTTCCAAAACTATTCCATGGCAAAAAAAAAAAAAAAAAGTCATAGTTAAAAGACAGATGTTTAAATACCTTCTACGTGACACATATATAAAAATACATACGGAATGCTACCCGATTTTATTAACAAAGTATGGAAGAACATCCACAAATACTGTACTTACCAGATTTCTCTGATATTCTGCAACCATTGCCTTTCGTAGCTTTATGCTGATCAAATCGTAACCTGAAGTCCAATGACCTAATATTCAGTAATGCAAAATTCACATTTCATACTTGCAATGTCATTTTTTCAAAGCATTTTTCAATGTTAGAACATGACAAGGTTGAATACATTTTGACAGTGATATGATTTGAAGCTGCAAAAACAAACTGTCTGAATTGACTAGAATTTTTACCAAATTTTTCCTACGGTGCAGCTCTTGGATTAGAATGTTTGAATGTCAAACTTTCAAAAAGACAAGCTGTCTGTAACTCTCTCTCTCTCAAAATAATTTAAAAAAAAAAAAAAAAAAAAGAACCAAATCAGAGAATCAGTGCTTTCATGTTGTGAGAAATAAGTATTTCCTAATCCTTAAATAGAAAAAAAAAAAAATAAAGTGCTAAATTATTAGTCTTATTGATTCCAGCACCCTCCCTGAAATAATATTTTTCCTGATTTAACAAATATATTGCTTGTACTTCTCAGATACACAATTCTATCAGGAGATGTGTATCTGGAGAGAACAAAAAAGTGGACCCAGCCGCTTTTTTTCAATAGCATTATACTGACTGGTCCTGCTAGTGTGAGCCTTCCTCCAGGGCCCACCATAGCTGGCCATGCCATGAGAGTCATTGTGGGTCATTGGTCCATGTTATTAAGTCAGGTTTACTCCAACATCCTTTTTCCTGTGAGATGAAATTTATCAATGATGAAATTTTCCCTTATTCCTCGAGAACCAGCACCTATTTCATGTCTCATTTACCATTTACTTTCTTGTAAATACCACTATTTGTTAACACAATTGATCTTTCTTTTACAATTACAGTAGCAATAATACTCTGATTTTTACAGGTGCACTAGCAGATGGAGAAGAGTGGAAGGATGTATATACACTTAAGCAGCTTTGCAAGAGAAAGCAAGAACTTGACATGACAGCTAAAAGTTGTCCTAAGATGAGACTTAAAGGGTCTTCAATGCCACACAACAGAACTTAAAAATAGGGCAGACAGTAAGGCAACATGCAGAAATGAAACTAACATGGGAACCTGTACATAACATTCCTATCCGAGCAGCTGCTGCTTGGCTTGCACACCGCACCCAGAGGTCTTAGCATGGAAGTGGCCTTGGCATGGTGGAGGCCATGCCTGGCCTCCTCCCTGCTGGGCCACCGCATCCCAGGTGAGCAGTGCCCATGCCAGGAGGCGGCCTCCACAGAGACCCTGTGACTGTTTCGGGAGAGCAGAAGGCTTTCACTCCTTCCTGTGTTCATTTCCTTAGGAAAATGTTTTTCCCAGGACAATCCTTTTTGTTAAAATACTAACTTTCAGATTCAAACACTGAAAAGAGCACTGAAGTAGTGCACCAGTGGTCGTAAAAGCAAGTTGAGGGGTGTGTTTCAGCAACACCGTACTCCCATTCATTTGTACAGGAGGCTTGTAGTAGCTCAGAGGAAAAAGATGGGTACTTCCTAATGGTCTTACTGCCTTCATGTGGTCTGGAAAAGGGTTTGCCATGCAGTACAATCACAGAACAAACTAGCATGGTTTGCCCCTTCAATTCCTGTTAGCTCTCTTACTGCACTTGGGATTAAACACAGTAGCAGCCCCCAGAACACAGTCCTGCCAGAAATCTCCACAGGGCCAGGCAAGTGCAGGGAACTGCAGCTGAACCGCTCTCCAGCTGCATTTCACTCAATAGCCACAGGCTGCAAATCCCTAGTGTAAAGGAACAGGTAAAACACCCCTTTAAAGCTTGTTTCTACATGTTTATATATATATATATATATATACACACAACACACACACACACACACACACACATATGTATATTCTAAAGCATAAATATATATATATATAAACTTTAAAGTAGACAAAACTGCTATATGTGGATAATATTAATGGAAATAGTGTGTTCCATTTGCTACGGATACTGCCTTACCTATATGTTAATATTGTTTAAAGGACAGCACAGACAAATATTCAACATACTTAGAACTCTCCTGACAGGTTTAAACTCCACAAACTACGCATATCATTTCCATCATAATCAAACGGATATTTTTCAGGATAAACTGTCTCATTTTTGGTACTGCAGACAATTTTTAACTAGGAATAGTGAGGTGTTTGAATTTGAAAAGCAAACACAAGATGCAATCTGTGTTAAACAACATCCTCTAACACAAATACAAACCAACTAGAACAAATAGCTTCAGGCAAACTAGCAGAGTAAACAACAGAAAGCAAAGAGAACAAGGAAAGACCAGAGAAAAGCCAGGTTGCACTTTCTTTGGAGGTAGAGGTCTTAGAGGGTTTCAGTGACTCCCAGCTCCATCTGTGTACAGGAAATCATTTTTTGCCACTGGCATGAGAATTAAAATTCTATTGTGGGACTGGGAGAGATGAAGTTCATAGGGCTTTATAATTCCTTAATTATTTTCTCTCCTGCCAAATAACACAGCATCAAAATACTTTAGTATCATAAAGTAGCCTCAGACAGTTTCTCAGTCAGTCTTCAGGATTTGATTTTGCAATTTAATCCACTGATACTAGCTTCTTTCCTGCTGATTTCACTTGAGCTCTGTGGATGCAAGAATCAGCTCTTATTGATCACTTTGCACAGCCAGGGCTTTCTTCTGTCCACACTTTGTAGAATATTAAACCACTGGTAAAGTAATACAGCTCCTTTCACAGATATGTTTGTTTTTGTCTTTTGTTTATATGTGTCTATCTACTAGACTGCCTGCTAGTTAGGTTTTTTGTCTTGAGGCACTTAACCATCAGTCAGTACTTCATTACTCTTATTTTTCTGGTTTCGTTTCATCTGAGATTAAAATCTTTTTCAAAAGGTGGGCTGCCAACTTGTAAACACATATGCTTAAAACACTATTGTGAGTTAAACTGGGTAATCCATGATTTTCTATCTCTTTAAGAACACACAGTAAGAAACATTACTTTGATTTCCATTAAGCTTTAATGTAGAACCATTAGCTTTTTCAAAAAAAAAAAAGAAAAATCTAGAACACACAACTGAAAGAACTGCATAATATTTTCGTAGTAGTAATGTTATATTAGCATGTAATTTTGTGTCTTTGTGTGCTACTATAGTCAAGAAAGCTTAGTTTTAAAAGACATTCAGCATCTTTTAGAAACACAAGCAAACCAGTAACAAAAGGTCTCATTATTTTCTATCTTATCTATTTTACTTTCAGATCTAATGATTTTCAGAAGTCATTGGGGTTACTAGGGTCAATAGGCAGTGTAAGAGTCCATTAGGTGTAGAAGACAAGGGAGCTACAAAAAGCAGCTGCAATGAAAGACAGAAAGACAGAATTATCCATCAAACATTAGGATCATTATTAAGAGTAGAGTATGTTTTAGAAACCAAAGCATCTGGTACAAGAAAGAATATTCTCACATTCTGCATTGGCCAATTTGGACCTTCTTTTGTACCTTTTAGGGCTCTGGAGAAAAGCTCAGTGTATGAATAAGAAAGACTTACTTACAATCAAAATTCAGATTTGTACAAGCAGAAGTGGGCTATACCCACTACTTCATCTCACTGTTTTCCCTGGACTTTGCAGTTTGGCTTTACAGCCAGCCTATGTGATGGTGGCACATGGTATTCTTATATCTGCAAACACTTTCCTATAATTTGGCTCTGTTCTCTAAAACTAGACTTACAAATTGCATCCACTATGCCCACTCCTTCTTCCTCACACTTCTCCCCTACTCTACCATGGAATCTTCATGGGCTGCAGGACAATCTTTGCTCTGGCACCTGGAGCACCTACTTCCTCACCCTCCTCCTCCTCCTCTCCCCTGGGTGTCCTCAGGGCCGCTCCTTGCACTGCTCCCCTCACCTCCCCCTGCCATGTGGCGTTTGCCCTCCCATCCCCAGGCTGCCCCTGAGGCAAGGCACCACCATCTTGGCTGTGGGGCCCGGCTGTGCCCTGCAGTGGGGCTGTTGGGGCTGGCTGGGGCCGGCACGGGGCAGCCCCGGCATCACCTCATGCAGCAGCCCTGCATGCCTCTGCCACTGTTTGGGCACCTGCATGCAATACATTAGTTTTTAAGATTTTGATGTTATTTCTCAACTGAATGTGGTCTCGGTCACTTCAGATACGATAATTCAAAATTTTGCAAAACCACTTCTCTAGCAAGCTTTTCAGCCCAATGAACTGCATTGGTAGGATCAATTTTTGTAAGGGACCAGCTTTAGACATTTCCAAATACAGGTGTGTCCTGTTCTCCAGACACTGCGCTATTGTGCCTCTGGTGGGCTAAGCCCAGCAGCCTAGATCACTGGAATGATAAAATGTTTTAACCATTTTCCTCCCTCAGTTGAGAGAGGACAGGGAGCTACAGGCTTTACAGTTTCTGTGATTTGATTGTCAGTACAGCCACAAGAACAAGTTAGGGCAGCAAAACCAAGTAACAGGAGACTGTAATGTGCACAAGGCAGGAGGTGGGAACAGAAAGAAGAAATGAACTGCTGTCCTTTGGAGGTGGCTGGGACCTCTCGAGGTGATTTTGCTGTGAATGCCAGCATCCTTTACAATTCACATCCACATTTACTAAAACTCTTCTTGCCTTCCCACAAGAGGATGGGAAACAATTTGACAGGTCATTGCTACCAGTTCCTCCACCTTCTTTACTTTTGCTCTCCCTGCTCTGCCTACTGCATATCCCCATCACCCAAAAGAGCTTTCTGTGAGCTAATTTGACTTCCTAAAGTTTATGAGGAATACCTGCAAATTAGACTCTTTTAATTCACTAATACTGCAGAAACAGATCAGATCATATAATGGTCAAGGGGAACCTCAGATATGGAAAAAAAGTGAGGACAGGACTGTTACCAGGCACTGGGAGAGAGACATAATAAGAAGTGAGAAATTCACCTCTTCCAGACACAAGGAGTCATTAGAGTAACCCATGCTGTCCTGAGACTATGCTCCCTCATCATTCTCACTCCACCACTCCTTTGAGGTGGCAGCTGGGTTTTAAAAACACTTAATGCATCACCACTTTTGCAAACATACCATTGCATCATTCGGTATATTAAACAAAAATCCGTTTCCTGTGTATATCTATATTAAGTGACATTTGGATCTTTCTTCATTCACTGAGTTATTATGAGCTGAAAGCTAAAGTTTTGCTTGGATCTACTTTAGGAACAAAGTTTCTATTCTTCACACTTCAAAAAGCACTCTCTTTACATTGATTTTGCAGTAGACTAGGTAGCATTCGTTCAGAAAACCTGACTTTTCAGAGAGATCTGAAATCACAGACCAAATTTACCTCACTGAATTATCATCCATTTGTGAACACTGGTGATTTGGAAACTTTGCCTGTGCAGATGTGTTGCATTTCTTGCTCGTGGACCTACCATTAGCACACCTACGTGAATATTGTGAATATTATTCTACTACATGTCAGGAGACAATGTGCATATAAAGACAGCAAAGAAACAAGATTTTCAGCTTAACAGATGTCCAAGCCAAATTCCAAATCTCTTTCTTCTTCCTTTCTTTGACCATTTGTTATAATTTGAGATTAGATTAGAGCTGATTGTTGCTTTTCCATGCAATCCTCCTATGCCAAAATGACAATCAAGGATGGATGAATCCAAAGCATTCCTATTTTTCACGCGCTTTAAGTGTAACAAGGCCAGATTTCTCTACATTAGGAATTAAAAATGAGGAGAAAGAAAGATACTGTCATTTTTGAAAAATTATCAAACCTCAAGTCTGAGGCTGTCCATCCATTCTAAGAATCCATTACTAAGTACTACATTAATTCTCAGTTGGAACTGAAAGAACCAATGCACACCAACCTCTCATCTGAAATTCAAACTTAATTTTTATTTTTTGAAAATATTCACCCATTATTTGTAATTTCATTCATGGTAGTTTTGCAGTGATCCATATTTTCCAATAGCTCTGGGGCCTGAGCACTGAAATAACATCCAGTAAAGATTTTTCCTCTCCAACTTTCAGGCCAGTTGGATGTAGGATGCACCTGGGCAAATTCCTATAAAATACTATGCTTCCCAGAAGATTTACATAGATTGATAAGCTTCAGGTAAACTTTTGAACCAAATTTTAAATCTTTAGAGGATTATCTATAAGCTATTATTGATGGTTCCACTGACATTATTAATGCATTGCGTTATGTACAGTTAAATTCTTTTGTGCTTTTATAATGGCAGAAAAAACAATTTACTTAATTTTGTGGAAAGGTTGTAAAGAACTGAGCACTTTCTGACTATGGGGGTCATGCCCTAGGTTGTTTGTCAAACAGGAGCCAAACCATGTTGGTATAACCAGAGAGGTGAGACAAACAGGAAAAGAAGTCAGTGTTAGCCTTATTTTTAGGGGAAACTTTGCCAAGTGTATAAGGTGATTTCAATCACAAGTCGCAGTACATGAATCACAAGAGGAAGTAATACACCAAAATGCCTGGATATCAATTATGTCAAACACCTGAAAACATCTATGTTTGCACGATCCTCACCCATACTGGTAGTTCATCAGGTCAACATCTTACTGTGTTTTCAAGCTAAGCAACTTCATAGCTAGATAATAAGGTAGATTTGACTCAGTTATCTTGGTTTCTGTTGCTGTTGTTGAAAAGATTCAGATCTGAAAACTGAATGCATGTCAGTCAAATGAGTAAAGGATGCAACACAGCCAGCTCAGTTCAGCTCCCAAAACAGCAGGACTGCATTTGTTCAGCATTTTTCCTCTGACAGCTTGCAGCAGTGAAAGACAAGCAGCAAGTTAATGTTGTCCACTCACAGCAGCAAATAATTTCAACAACTTGAGCTCTAATTCAATGACAAACCATTTTGGAAAGCCCTTTTCCTTCCAGCAGTACATGCACTGAAATAGGACGAATATTTTTCTGACAGCCAAACTACACAGCAAAAAAAAAACACACTAATTTTTCCAGATTTACTAACAATATTTTTGCCTGTTACACCTGCACGAAGCATTAAAGGAAGGTGCTATTGTACTGTAAAATAACTAGAGGGTAGCATTGTATAGTCTAGTAGAAACAATTCTAACTAGAATGCTTCACATTTACTTACATAGCTGCTGAACTTCAAGGAAATCCATCGCAAGTCAATGATTTCCCAGATTTCCATGACAACCTAATGAAAACAAATGAGATATTCAGAAAATTATGCTTGGATGCATCAAAAGAATAGCACTAATTACAGTAGCAACACTTTCTTGGAGGGAAATGTTGAACGGTATAAACAATCAGCATCCATTTGGTGTCTCATAAAATGCTATGTTATAAAGGGGAATTCAACAGTCAAATCTGCAGATGTACATCTCTGACAAGTAATTTAAGTAAAGCTCATTGTGGTCTCTAAAACATTAAATGGATTCTCTTTGGGAACCTCTTAGGTTCCCAAATGTACTTACCTCCAGATGCAATATTCAGCTGGTATCTCCTGGGGAGAATGTGATTTGGGTAAAAACAGTTAATTTTAGCACAACTCTTTTTATTTTTACCATCTGATCTCTTTATCACTCTGAGGTTAGATATTCAAGTAGGAATGGGAGAAGGAATTGCAATAAACCAGACTATTTTCTGGAGGCAGCAATCCTATTTTGTCTAGTTTTTCAAGCTCTTAGACCACTGATAAATTACAGAAGAACTAAAAGAGGGAGATATGTTTTTTTAATACAGAGTGCACCAAGAAATTACACAATCTTACCAGATAATTTGTATTACAACTACTGTCTCATTATAAGTAGTATTATACTTCATGAAAGGATCCTAGAATACGTATCATTATATAACGATGATTTAAACGCCAACCTACCATGAAATCCTTTTCAGGAATAACTCAATCTCAAATGGAAATAGAATTTTCTTAATCTGTTCCTCTCCAGTATACTGCATTTTGATAGCGTCTGAGAAACAAGCCATATTACCAAACAGTGTCACATCAACAATGCACATGAGAGTTGCATCATAGTACTCTTTTCATAAATGAATAAATGGATTAAAAATTCAATGCACTTTTGCTTATTGTTGCAGGAAGCACGGCCAAAAGCACGACAGACACCACTATGGTCAGATCATGCTCCATTTTATTGCCCGAATAGCCTAACTTTTATAGTGAACTTATCAGGGGTGGATAGTGTCTCACACAAGATTATTGGTCAAAAGCACTCAGACAAACAACTACAAGAAAACAACCCTACCTGCAAGAAAACAACCCCCTTGTGATTAGCAGTCACGCAGACCTTGTCCTTGAAGACAGATACTGGTAACAATGTTTTACTAAATTTCTCAATTGGGCAATGTGGGAACACTGTCATGGGAACTTCTCATAGTTGCCCTGCTAGCTTGGTTTGCTCAGCTGCAGCAAGCCATGGGATTTTTGCTGTTTCAAAAAATCCCTCAACAGCTTTTAAGTCAGGCTTTGAGGTAACTCACACAAATTCATCTGAATTGTGTCAATTTCTGTGTCAAACCAGAAAGATTACTTATTTCTGTAGATAAAATACAATACACATTTATGATAAAGTTTTGGGAAAACATTTATCTCTACATGGGCTTTTTTTTTTTTTATGCCCAGCCCCATTATAAATAGGTAAAATGATAAATTGCTCATTGCTATTCCAAAGCTCTTCTGTGAAGTATATGCAGGAAATAAGATCTGTGATTCAAGGCGCAAGACGCATGTTAATTCTTATACAATGGAGAAATCGATATTAAAATCAGGACTGCATGGCTTCTGAGGCTGTACTCCCAATGATAACAAAGTATTGACTTACTATTCTCAGCCTGGATCAAAAAACTAAGAGAACACTGAACTTTAACTAATACACATATAATGTAGTTGCAGCTTATGTTGACTGCCTCCCCAGGAATGCATAAAGTTATGCCATACATTGACATTTATCCAGACTTTGAGGAAATATTAAATCAGGTTGCAAGCTTTCTGGGGCCAGGACCCTGTCTTACTGTCTACCTATATATCTAGCATGCCTGTGGCACCACATAAATAATTTAACAGTAAATGAATAGGATCAAACAAACAAGCAGAAAAAATAATCCAATCAGATTTTTAATCAGATCCGATCTTTTAGTAGTTTAGCCACCATTTCAGAGTCTGCTACCTTTATCCAACTGAGCTGTCAAGCCTTACTCATCTATATTGAAGAAAGGTCATACTGCTAGTGTTTGTAGACAGTTTACTTCCAGAAGATATGAACCAAAGAACATCTCAGTGGCCTTCTACAGTGGCAGGGCAAACAATTCAGGCCATGTTCATGACAAGCAAATTTACATGCTTTAAATGTAGACAAAAATGCTAAAGCTGTAGAACTTAAAGCTTCTGATCACACAATTAGGCTAGTGTTTCCAGAAGATACTGGCATTGGTACAACTCAATTTCATAAATATGTGACCCTGTATAAACCTGTGTATTCTACAAAGCCATTAATAAATAAATATATATATATATATATTTATTTATTTATTTTATTGCTATCTAACCTAATTCACACCTAGTCAAAGAGAATTACAACTATAGGACAGAGTCATCAGTCACTAACAGCTATCACTACAGCAAATTTCTGTGCAATTCAGTAGCAGCTAAAATCTGTTTATAAAATAAAAATAACAAAACATCTTAATTCAAAGAATAAGCCAACTGAGATGAATAACTAATTATATAAATCATGATTTGATTGCAATTTCTCTAATTCTAGGGAAATAAGGATAAAATTTTTCTGAGTATATTATTCACCATGTATTATTCACTCGGTTTCACTTAATCATCCATCCTCTGTAGGTGCCCAAGACAACCCTTCAAACCTTTGATTATTTTTGGTCTCATTTAGAAACTGTCATACAGTTGCAGTGTATTAGTTCCAAACAGCAACAATTTCAGAAACATGCAGAACAGAACTGATCAATTCAGTTACCCTCTATCGGAAGAGGGATATACCCTAATATGTGTGAAATGTTTGAAACATGAGACTGAACATGCCATAAATAAATTAAATTCAAATTGAATTATTTTTTAAAATATTCCTATAGTTCTAAGTCTACAGTTCTTTTGATTCTTAGTCTATAGGTTTTCTAGACATGAATGGGAATTCTTACAATACAATAAACTTACACTTTACCAAATAGGTGTTTTTTTCCTTCATTGCTAAATCTCTACCCAAAATAATATTTTAATTTTTTTTTTCTGACATACAATACAATCTCCTATCTACATTATTTACTGGTTTACCTGTTTCTTTACCTTTCTGTAATCTCCATGACAAAGTACCTCAAATGAAACTCATTTAAGAAATGCAGAGGGTCAGGAGGCACCAACGAGGTTTTGAGACACCAAACTACTAGGTAAAATTTTGCTCAAGGAACAAGGTCAGCAGTATCACGCAGGCTTTTTTTTTTTTTTCCTGGGAATTTTATCTTTGGGAAGTTTAATTTGACTTCCAGCCTTTGTCTTTTCCCTTGAGATTTCTATACAGGCTGTAATCCTGGTTGAATTAGCTCCAGAATTCTCCGTCAAATACTCAACAGGCATGTAAAGATTATATGGATGTGCAAGTAGAGATCTGGTCCCTAGGCTCCTGCTCTTGTGTAGTCTGATATATCTGGGAAGCTATGAACAAATTGCATATGTATCACACAGACGGCTTGCACATGAAAATCCACATATGGAAAATATCAATTCCATTCCTTCTTTTACCTCAGATTACACTCATATTCAGTTTCCAGGAAAATACCTTTGCCCTGCATTCTTGTTATTGGGATGGAGGGGAGAGAGCAATCCTGTCATCTAGTAGACTAGCTTTTTTAACTGTCCTTTTCTGATGTGCAGGATATAGAGCAGCAGAGAGATGCAGCTTGCTTAAAATGAGTATTCTTCCCCATAATACAGTGGAATGATACCATTAGTCTAAGGGAATAAAATATACACCTGAGGCAAAGGCATTTGTCTTTAAACAAAGGGCTGAAACGTGGTCTGCTGTCTGATACACTCAAATACTACTTACTTCCGTGAGTAGGATATCCACTTGAGAAGCAAGTTACTAGGGTTTCTAATTTCCATTCCCTGTAACTACTCATGGTACAGAAAAAAAAAAAAACAGTGTCAGCTGTTGAGATTTATGGTGGGTGGTGGAGTGTAACTGGGATGCTAGTGGCCAGGGCAGCATCTTCAGATGGGGGCGGGAGACTAGGTAAGTATAAAGCCCTTCGGACAGAGGATGGAACCACGTTTCACTTCCAACATTTGATGCCAGAGGGCAATTCAAAGCTCTCCATTTCTTTCTGAGGCTTTAGATTTTGGGGGAAGGAGAGCAAGATAATTGTTTTCTTCACAAAAGCCTTAATATGATTCTTTTCCATGCAGAAGAAAAAATAATAATTAAAAAATAATCAGACTTCCATTTCAGGGAAGGGAAGCAGCGGAAAGAAAAGTAACTTCTATTCATATTAAACTAAGCTAGAGTAATCTTTCCAGTGTCTTAGTTCAGCTGCCACTAATGGCTTATTTGCCTAGGCCTGTGATTCCTTGACTTAGGGCTGAAGAGACATAAAATAATGAAAATAAATGAAAATAGTGAAAATAAATAAATAATGCTTATTTCTGCAGCATGGAATATTGCATTTGACTTCTTTTAAGGCTTGGCCCCAACTATTTCACAACCAGTATTTGACAGGAGAAGATCATACAACTTACTCAATAAGAAGGGTGTAAAATCTAACAAACTGTAAGTACAACAGGGTTATGAAGAAGTGGGATACTAAGTCCAATAAACCAGAAAGCTATTCTTACTGGTACTGAATGAGGCATGCCTAAGGTTCCTGAGGAAGTTACATACATTCATAAAATCTCAAGTGAGAGACTATAAGTATTGGAAATCACTTCCTCTGACTGGTCTGGCTGTAGGAAAAGAGAACTCACATGATGTACTTTATTACCGAAAGAAGCCATAGCTGGAACGGTGGAGACCAGACAATGGCAATGCAGCCCAGGGTCTCAGCCCAGGCATCTGGTTCTCTGGTGAAAACTTTCTCTCATTCTTTATACCAGTTTATCTTGTTTAGTTAATTTTACTCACAGTTTGCATCATCATTGATACATGCTTCCCCCATGACAAACTG